CTTTACTTAAAATCAATGTGCATCAGAGGCGGAGATACAGGGGATTAGTGGCATTATTTTTACAAATAAAAATACTACGCAACTGTTTTTTTTTTTCGAAATGCGCGTTTTTTCGAATTTTACCTACAATTTGCGACAAATAATTACTCTTGTATTTTTTCCTAGAGTGCATTGTTTTCGTAAAAATGAAAAAAAATATCTGTTTTTTATCAAAGGTTTATTTCAATAAATGTTTAAAGATCCATTCTGACGGATACAAGAGCGACATCTTTTTAATAAAGAAAAACGTATTTCGCAAAATTCGTTGTGGCTTGAAGTTGATGAAACTCATTATCTATTATTTTCTGTAACTGACCAAAAGTATTAATTTTTTCAGCATAGACTAGTTGCTTAAAAGCGCCACACAAAAAGAAATCCAGGGAGTTCAAATCAGGAGACCTCGCAGGCCAATATACGGGTCCGATTCAGTCAATCCATCGTTATCTAAACACATTTTCTATGTAGTTCTCTAGAAAAGCTAAGTATGAGTTTGCATTTAAACGTTGTGGCAATAGCTTAATCATATATGCAAATTTCCCCAAAATAATCGTAAAGTCTGGTTTTATTGATGCAAGTTGTTCAAGGGGGTATTTAAAAGATGGACGCATAAAATGGATACACCAATTTTTGGGGAAAGCTTTTCATTCGTCAACAAAGAATAATAAAACCTGTTTTTTTGGGATTCAATCGAAAGTGTTGTCAGGAACCAAAAAACTCTTCAAATAAGATTCGTAGGTATTTATACAGAATGAGACCACATGTAAAAAGATCCGACTAATAATAAAAAAGTTATGGTCGAAATCCGAGGGAAAATGCAGTTTATGCCTCTTGTTGCTACTGCGACGATAATTTTAGCTACTTGAAATTCTTCAAATCCATAGGCTTCATGCGTTTGAATAACCACAACAAAATTGGAGTCGCTTGGTAAAGTAGTTTTTGAGAATTTCTAGGTGTTTATTCCAAAACACTTGTCTTCCGGCGATCACTACTAGTTTACTGAGTAATATACAGGGTTCGTTCAAATGGCATGTTATAGCGAAATACACTAGTTTACCTTGTTGAGATGAATCACAATCCATTCGGAAAGATAATTGTTATTTTTCTGCGAAAAACTAAGGGGATAAACAATTAGAAATTCTCAAAAACTCCAATTTTGTTGTCGTTATTTAGAAGTATAAAGCCTACGAATTTGAAGAATTTCAAGCATTTGCGTGAAACTATCGTCGCATTACCAACAAGTAATCTGCATCTTGACTCTGTTTTCGGCCATAACTTTTTTATTATTAGTTGCATCTTTTTACTTGTGGTCTCATTCTGTGGGTCTCATAAATACCTAAAAATCTTATTTGAAGACTATTTTCGTTCTTGCCAACACTTTCGATTGAATCAACAAAACACTTTTTCTCATTCTTTGTTGTCAAATAAAAATGTTTCCCATAAAAATTGATGTACCCATTTTATGCGTCCATGATTTAAATACCCTTTCAATAACTTGCATCAATAAAACCAGACTTTACAATTATTTCGCAAACCAGGGTATTTTCGTCTAATATTATTAGGCAACAATACAAGCATAAGCAGTTGGCCATTGAAAATGCTGGACCAGACATTTCTAGAAAATCTGTGCTGAAACGAGCAGATTCTTGCAGAACGGGGATTTTCTAACGACCAAATGTTCATTATGAGAATTAAAGGTTCCACTCCTCGTAAAAACCGACTCATCTGACCACAAAACCAAAATACAAATTCAAAACCAAGCCCTCCAGGTTCGAGCACTACCTACACCTTTGAGACTACCTTCATCAAAACGGGTCGCACCGATAGTACTGCGCGAACCAGGAAGGTGGAAGTTTCTATGTCAATCATATGTTTCACTTTGTATTAAAATTGGAAAAGCTGTGGCTATCGATGCCGGAATTAGATTTACGCCTAAGACAGAGTATGATTATAGGAAATTTATACGCTTTCTAAATGAAAACGAAATGGCACACAATACTTTTCCCATCCCTGGAGAAAGAAACATTCACACATTCCTTAAGGGAATAGCATCAACTGCGGAGGAATGTGAAGTGAAGGAAGAGCTGATATCAAGGGGATATAACCCTCTTCATACAATTCGCTCAAAACGGATTGGCGGGAGACCCATGCCTCTTATAGTTGTGGTACTGCCGAAGGTAGCAAAGTTTCATGACATTTTCAATGAGCGTGAACTCATGTACTTGGCTATCTATGTGGAGGTGCAAGGAACTTCTCGACAAATCGGTCAGTGTCATCGCTGTCAGAGATATGGTCAGTCCCAGTCAGAGATAAACCCTTCTCCCAGTCATATTTTACGGCACCTCCCAGGTGTGTGCAGTGCGCCCAAGAGCACCTCGCGCATCTGTGTCCACTTACAGATCAGGATTCCGGAACCTGTGCGAACTGTGGCCAAATTCATCAGGCAAATAGTTTAGGCTGTAAACTTGTCCCCAGAAAAAATATTGAACTTTCACGAGACCGACAGCAGAGAGCGAATTCTCTAAATTCGAACACAACTTATACTGCTGTTGCCTCTTCCAGCAATACAAATTCGGACACTTCACAGTACGGCCCAGTTAATGATTTAGCAACTGTCCTGAAATAACTTGAACAGATTATAGCTCCTCTTCTGCACGCAACGCAAGCCCTGAAGGCTCTATTTCCGCAGCCAGTGACTGTGCCATAAATAGATAATAATAAATAAGCTATACTTCGGCTCAAATACCTAAACATAAAGGACCCCGCTTGGCTCTCTAAATTATAAATATAATTGATTCTATTCCCCTTTTTTACACTTTCTCCTTTTCTTCCTTTCTTAGGTATTCCTTGATCTACTTAATAAGAAATCTCACCTGGCTGGGCTCTGGAAGATTTTGAAGAAAGATAACATCATTCTGCCAGACAAGAGCAAAGGTCCTGCGGGCCGCTCAAATAACAAATGACGAGACGATGACCACAAAACCAAATCAACAAAATCTGTATTTTGATTTTGCATTTGCAACAACCACTCACAAAAATTTCGTCATTGCACTTGCACGGGTTGTAGACATTGCAGATTTTGTCGATGGTAAGGATGTAAAGCTTCCCGATTTAAAATTCTCCACGCAAGACTTTGAGAACATGGTACCTTGGCTGCAATCCGACTAATACTTGTACTAGGATCATCTGCTAAATTAATCACTTCCAGTTCCTCTTGAACAGGACACCATGGCCTCTAGCTCCGGAAAGTTTGGCAATTCCATATTGCCGAAGTATTAGAAATAGTCGCGTAAAAGCATTTGGGGTAGGTTGGAGTCTACGTTGATACTCCCGGAAAGCCGCTAAAGCATTTCCATTACAGAACTCGGACACAAAAATAATATCGAAATACTCATCATTGCTGAATGGCATTTCAAAGCACTCAAAAATGGAGAAAATAAACTTTTGATTTGACTTTTACATAAAAAAATGGTAGTAGTAACGATAACAACCATATAACACATAACCTTGACAAACTATCTCCCAAGAAAGGTCAAGTTGGTATCAAGGCCTTCTATTTTATTTTGAAACTAATTGTATCTCGGCTCTTCATGAATGATCTAATTTGTTTTATTTTTATTTTACGAAGACTGTGCACTCTAGGAAAAAACACAGGAGTAATTTCTTGTAGCAAATTGAAGGTATAATTCAAAAAATTGCGCGTTTCGAAAAAAAAACAGTCGTGTACTAATCCCTGTATCTCCGTAAATGATTCTCATTAATTTTAAGTAGGCTTGAATGTGGACAATACGGAGGTAAATCCACATATCAAATTTTTGTTCATTCCAGTTGACGGTTCTGAATATATTAAAAAATTTTTTTGCATATAAGACTTCCTTAAAAAGCGGTCCTGTGTAAGTTTTATTTTTGGTCACTACGAGTGAATCACCCAGTATAGCTTTAAGGTTTACCGATAACCAAATACGAATTAAGCGCACCGAGTTTCGTTCACTTATAGTTATGGACCACGGAAATATAAATTTTACACTGTGGAGATTTAAAGTTCAAACATTTGAGCAATGTAGAGTTTGAAGAAAAAATCACCAAAATACTTATACAGTGTGTCTGCGAAAGGTGATAAAATCTCGAAACTGGAAATACTACAGACCGAAATAACTGAATTGACCTAAACATACCTCAGCCCAAAAGAAGATAGTTTGCGAGATACAGGGTGTCAAAGTTACAATTTTATTTTCTATTTTTCCTTATTGCCTGAGAAGTATTTCAGATTTTCGCATAAAACTCGGTACAGGGAGGTTTATTTCTAGTATGAGAAACAAGAATCCGTTATTTTTTATGGCCAAGCTTCTAGAGGGCGCCACTTACAGCACTATTTCGGTAAATAACTTATCATAACTTTTTTGTGCTACCCTGTATACAACAACTGACCAAAAATCTTATTTTCTCGTATTTCCATAACAAAAAAGGTTTACTTGTTAGAAGTGTCTGAAGCTGATAGTTTTCAAAATATTTGTATTCAAAGCTTCCAATGCATTATTTGTACCATGATTATAAAACGTTTTTATAACGTAATAATCAAATTGCTTTGGATAATATCTTAGCGTTTTTAACAATAACAAATGAGGATGGCAAAAAAAGTAATAAACGGAAATAATAACTACAAAAATTGTTCCAAATGAGCACCACTTTGCCTAACACACTCTCGAGCTCGACGAACTAATCGTGGAATCACTCTCCAAAGCATTTAGATAAAATAAGATTTTGCTTTTTTTGTATGTTTAGGTCAATTCACATATTTTGGTCTAAAGTATCTTCAGTTACGAGATTTCCCAACCTTTCGCAGACGTAAATTTAAGACAAAAACTCGTTTTTGGTAAATGGAACGCCCAAGAAATGAATCTGTCAGGTACATTAAGAAATGCAAAAAAAATTCTGACATATGGTGATTCGTTATATTTTTTTAGGTAACTTACAGCATAACAGAGTGGAGTCCAACAAGTTTCCCTAATTTTCCTGACGGCAGATGGCTGGTGCATCTTGAATTTTTCAAGGATATGAATAAAGATGTCCTCCTAGCTACCACTGAGTGGTACTTGACAATAACAAATACCATAGAATGGTCTACGACAACTCTGCCTTCTGATGAATGAACAATATAATGGTTTATAATCAATACTGAATACATTTCTTTTATGGAATAAACGCACTTACATGAACCTACGCGATAGTTCCTGTGAATAGGTTTGCTGCTTCAGTATATCCTAGAAGTGCAAATGAAATAAGTACATTTTCAAAAAATACAAACAACCCGACTGCAGTAGATATAAAGAATAAAGATTTGTGCTATCAAGTGGATTCTAGAGACCCCTGATAAGTCAAAATCTATTAAGCTGTCTAAAGCTCATGTTACATGAAATTCAATGTCGAATGTTTTTATTAAAACCTGCCTTTTTGTTTTTATAAAATTTCAGTTTACCCTTTGTCAGTCGCACTGTTGAAGCTATTATAGACTATGAAATAGAAATATCAAACTTGAAATGTTCGATTAAAATCCACCATTTAATTTTTATAAAATCCTAATACTCTTCTACTGTTACTCGCACCACTAAAACGAATCCAAAAATGTCAAAAACCCTCAAGCCCTTGACTTGTAGCCCGTAAAATAGAATTTCGGATACATAGCCAGGCGTAGAAAGCATATCCCTCTTTCTGAGGTAGTCTTGTAAAAAACGATGAGTTTTCAAAGCTGAAATCACACCAAGATATTTTTACACTAGATTCAGAATGCAAAAAAATACTAACAGGATCTGAAGATCTGCAGCTGAAATTTTTTTTTATCCAAATACGATCGTAATCTCAAAAATCAAAAGCATAGATAATTTTGAGGCGCGAAAAATTTATTCTAGATTTTTTCCTGCCTAATACGGATATTTCATTTCCCGGGCCGTTATTAATTTAAAGAAAGAATCGTTTATCTATTTGTTCAAGAATGATTTGCAGATGTTTGAAAGCTAACTTTTTCATGAATTAACAGGGGTTGAAATAACGCACTTCAAAAAGTGCTGAAGCGCAGGGGAGCTCGGCTCAGGATTCAGGAAGATGTGCCGTCTGCAAAATTGAAAAACACTTTTAAATTTATTTCGTGTACTAAGGAGCTTCTAGTACGAAGTACGAGCCCCTTCCCACTTCAGTTGGCCCACTTCAAGATTTGTACCAGAATATGCCTTTATAAACTAAACATGACGAAACTATTTACTTCTAAAACTATTTATTTTCTCAAAAACATTTTAGATACACTCTAGTCATAAAAAATACATATTTGAAATCACTTAGACCTATAACTAATAGAACATCTGAACAAATAAACAATGCGCGAATAAATGCGCGAGGTTAACAAGCAACAATTGAAAGATTACCATTGGGTAACATCACCTTTACTTTTTATTACGGCTGAAATTCTTTGGGGCATAGTGTTAACCAAGTTTTGGTGCAAAACAATCCCATATTTCTTGACGCTTTTATCTCAGTTCGGTGATTGTTCGAGCAGGATGTTGTCGTTGAAACTTTTCCATCTCGTGCCACAAAGTTTCAATAGGTGACAGATCTGGACTGCTAGAAACCCATTTCAAAAGTGGTACATTATTTTCTTCCATCTATTTTATAGCCTTTTTTGAGGTATGGCACCCTGCACCATCTTCCTCAAACACAAAATCTTGGCCGGATGTCAAACATTCTTGCATCACTGGTAAAAGCGATTCTTCTAAAATTGCAAAATATTTGTTTGTATCCACATTTCCATCAGTAAAATGAAGTTTTCCTACTCCTTTTGGTGACATACTGCCCCAGACCATAATGGATGCTGGAAATTTCACTTTTCTCTTCAGACAGTCAACATGGAATGCTTCATTTTTTTACGAATAACTCTACTGCGACTGTCACCAACACAAACTTCGAATCGGGCCTCATCATTCCATTGTATTGCACACCATTGTTGAGGTGTCCATTGTCTATGTTCTTTAGCCCATCTAAGCCAATGTTTCTTTTGCAGTGGAGTTAATAGTGGCTTTTCTGTGGCCTATAAACAAGTTGTGCAACTTTAAGGTTTTTACTTCACTTTTTTTATAAGAAAACTTACCTTGCAAGTGCTAAATCCCAGTTTTTGGACCTCTCTATGAGTTGTGGTACTCGAAATTCTCCTTCCAATAGCGTCACTCCACAGAGCACTTAATAGTAAATAATTGGCACGCCTGTTTTCCACGATTATTCTTCTTAATGCTCTTTGGTCGGCATTTGTGATATTACTTTTTTTCACATCTCGTGGCTTAATATTAACTGAACCAGTTACGTTATATCAGTAACCGAATTTTCTCAGTAATAACCTTTCCTCTACCCATTTAGAAAACCTTAACTACCCAAAACTATTTTAAACGTATTCTGACAGCTGTGATTAATAAAAACAATTATCATGGCTTTTATTTTTCACACCCACCTATGCGTTGTAGACTTATTTTGCATTGAACTGAAAATAGGTTGATATGCTGTAGTTGGTGTTTTCTACTATATATTGTCAAAATATTCATTGTCATATTTTAAACCCTATTATTTGTGTTTGATAAGAAAAAAACTAAGATTTCAATAGTTGAGCCAACTGAAGTTTGAATGGTCTCGTACATACATTAACAACTATTTTTCCGTATTAGTCCACGTAGTGTCTACTCGAAAAAATATTATGAATGAGATTCTGTTTTTCGCATAATCTTGGAATATGGAAGAACAAACATTTTAACATTGCCAAAAGTCATAAATATTTTTGAAACATCCATTAGCAATATTCCAAAGAATTTTAGGAGGTATCGTCAATGTAAATCTTTGTTTTCTGTTTATTAACAATGATACTAGGTCCAGCGATTTTTTGATAGATTTACCAATTCTATTCTACTGAACTTCAGATCTTATGCGAAAGCTACCTTAAAATTTCTCGAATTTTCAAATGATATACTTTTAATATAATTCAACGAAACACAAAGTAGAGCCACTTGACCCCAACCCCGCTCTTCAACTTCTACAATTTTCGATTAGTGGAAATTGGTGCAGCCGTCTGCTGTTAAATTTTTCAAATGGCAGTATTTCATGCCCCCTCCTTCCCAACGCTCCTCAATTTTCAAAACCGACTGGAGCATACACAAGTTTTAAATTACCGGCAAGTTCTGGCTTTTTGGTTTACCGTCTACCGAAAAATATGGCGATCTACCAAAAACAGATCCACTTAACCTGGCAACCCTATAAACAATGTTTAAATAATTTATGACGGAATTTTAGTCTAACAATAGGCCAATTCGTTAAAAAGGCTTCTTTTTGCTTAACACGCCATACTGGGCGAGGAGGTAATGTAATCGCAAAAATTTTCGAAAATGAGGTGTTGAGTTTTTTTGATGTTATATGAGATGTACATACATCACAAAAAAACTCGGATTTGGATCAAATTTTCACATAAGGTTACTACTGTGACAAGGACAAGAAAACTTTGTAGTTTTTGAAAATTGGTCCAGTGGCGGCGAAGGAAAATGCCAAAAACGAAAAAAGTATACTTAAATCGCTGAATCCTTTTTTAACGTTTCAGAGGATATTGGCCATTTTTGAAAAAAAAAATAGTGGTATAAAATTTGGGGATGGGGATTGTGGTACAGAGTCAACCTACTTAACACCATTTTTCAATAAGATTATGCAAAAGAAGCTCATTTTATTATCTTTCCAACCAGATGCGAAGATACTTCCTAAACTGTTATGTATATCAACTTTTTTTTATTTGTTTCAGCAGCATCACCGACTGTGGTCATGAGTTGCTGATTTAAAGATTGAATTACTTCAATAAAAGGGCTTAGTTCAAACTATGAATGCGAAATGTATGTTGCACACCTACGGATTAGCATAGGAATAGTTTCCGTTTAGAAAACTGGAAAACTCTATTTTCAGACCTGTCGTGCAGCAGGTGGGATAATGTGATATTCTAGGAGCTAGTTATAAACTTGAATACAAATGCTCTTTTGCAGTGATGGTGACGTTGTTGTAAGTACTTTATAAGCCCTATTAATAAAAAAACTACATTAGTTACTGCAGTCATTCCCGCTGTAACCAGTGGCCAGTAGTTTCATGGTGGAAGGCCATAGAACGGCTAGGCCCGGTTTTCCTATCCGGAGATCAAAATTTGCAGAAGGTGTTTTGTAAGCAATAGATCTAATCTCCCACCTGTCAAACCAGCGGAACATTAGACGCTGTAATAAGAGTCTAGACTGATATGACAGCAACTATCAATAGTTCTAGTAGTAAGTGCTTGGCATTTTATTCAAAATTACTGTGTAACTAGTTACCTAAAACAGACAATTTTGGTTAAAATGGCGTCAAGTAGATTGACTCTATACTTCCTACGCCTTCGTTGGAGGTTTTACAGAAAAGGAATAAGTCAAGTCGTTTCAAAAAGCGAAATTGAAAAATGATTAGGTAGGTTCACTTATACACTCATTGACACGCCTGGACCATCGTGCTTTTCAATAATGAGATTTCCTTTTCGATATATTTATATTTATTATATTATTATTTATTTTTTGGCTTCAACAACAGTCTCGCTCATATAATATATGTCCTCGGGAGTTATCCCTGTTGTGTAACCATTATTTACGTGATCTCGACCTGTCTATCTGTATGATAACTTTATTGTACAGAGGTCTGTTCTCGTGTCACGTTGGGACTGAGACATATCTCACTGGGCGTGTGTAACATCGGTAACTTCTTAAAAAATTTGGGGTGGGGAGTACCATATATGTGTATGGGTTATTTGTGCAAAAAATAAATTGCGTTTACCGACATATGAAGGGTACCGGGGAATAACGACAATAGTCCATCCGGACTGATTTTGAGAAAATCGGTAATTAAGGTTTATTTACTTGTTGGAAAGTGAAATTGATGAAAAACTAAGTCGTAAAGAATATCTTTGCTAAACAGTGTGTTTATTGGTAAAATCGATTTTACAAAATGAACTTTTACTCAAAACCAGTAACGTAACAAACAAAAGATGGACTTGTGCCACTTTTCCCCTGCTTTACGCGTCTATTGGCGGGTCATCGACATATTCATCACTGCTGCCTTCTGGATGATCAAGACATATTAACTGTTGATAAAATGCCCTGGAATCCGCTCTCTCTAGAAATTTGGTCCGATCCGCAGATCCTTCTATTTCTTACTTTTAATTGGGATTGGGCCCTGGTGAAGTTTTTTCAATGTTCGCCCTTCTCGTTTTTGTTGATCTTTTTGCGTCTTTTTTTTAGATTCTTCCGAATTACCTTATCAAATTTATAGGCCCATGTATGTCGATTTGTGAAAAACTACGCGAGGATTCTGTTTACAAAACTTGAGCATCCTGACTGGTCGGGTTGGAAAAGAGCACTTCGTTG